CTATTAGAGCTGGAAGAGAATTACCACATGTAGCTAGGAAAAGTGTCCACTTCACTAACTTCCCCCATGCCTGCTATTACTATCAGAGGTCCATCAGCCTTCAGCTCTCCTCTCCTTAAGCAATGAAGAGTTTATCAGCCGCCCTAAAACCATTTTCCTGGATATTTGGTTTCCAGGTGAACATGTGGTTGATTGAAGCATGGATTAGAAGTACAGATTGGGAGGTGTGTGTTGGTATCTTGGGCTCTGGGAAAGCCCATCATTCTCAAGATCAAGGCCACCCAGGGATGGATGTGGCAAAGGAAAGGCTGCTTCCTCCCACCCCTCCTGCTCCACTTGCCTCCCACGATCTTGGTTGTCTGGGAGAAGGTCTGCACGTGGGTGGTGGTGGAGCTGGAGCTGAACTCCATGGACACGTGTTCCTGCAGCATCTGCTTGTGCTGAATGGTCGTCATGGTGACAGCAGGCGTAGGCACTCACCTGTGAGGACCGGGAAGAAGATGAGGCCAAGAAGGACAAGGGAGGGAGCAGGACATTGAGAAATGTTCTTTATGTGTATGTGTGTGGAAGGGAGGACACAAAGGGAGATTAGAACATACAGGAAAGGGTAAGGAGAGAGGTCAGGGAGCAAGCCGCTCTTTTCTTCATTTCCTGTTCCATGTCCCTGGTTGCTTGCAAGGTCCAATAAGCCTGTTTCTCTGCGAAGCAACTCCAAACCATTTCAAGTGTTTTTGTGTATGTTTGTATTTAGGAAAACAGTGTAGGGCTTACACTTAACCCAGAACCAAGTCAGACCCAGAGGGAGAGGATGATCCCCCCTGGTAACTACCCGTAACTAGGGAGGCAGTTCTGGGTATTTCATCAGGAGGGGAATGAAGTCAGACCTAAGAAAGAACTTCCTGAGTTAGCCATAGTAGAGCAGGCTTTGGCAGGAAGCTGTGGATCCTGGACCCTGGGGACTCCAGGAATTCATGGAATGCTGAAGCAGAGGACAATGCACTTTCACAGCTCTGCTTTGATTTGGGAAACAGCAAAGCCAGAGGTTTAGTGTTTATTTCGAGGTTTTCCATCAATGGAAAGAAAGCCCACCCAGCTGTTCCACAGAAGACCGTGCTGCTCACAGGCTTCCACAGACCAGGAAGCAAACCTTGTGCAGCTGTTCTCCCCTGGACCACACGGATTCTTCATGACTGAAATGATTCACAACCAACATTTATGGACTTTCGTTGTTATTTAATCACATGGGTTAAAAAAATGAAAACAGTATAAGAAGATACATAAGGAGATGCCCTCTCTTAGTCTTCAGGCTCCTCCCACCTCCATTTTCCATCATTCTTTCCACAGTTAACTGTTTCTAATCTTTAGTTTCCTCCTGGAGCTCCCTCATGTAAATATATGTTTTTGTGCCTTTAAATATGTAAGCTAAAAAACACCCATATTATCCTGTCCTTATCTTTATTCACTTGCTACAGCTGGACCTCTTTCCCTACCAGTTGCTAGAAGCGTTTCCTCATGCTGTTCCCAGCTACAGAGTATTAGTCTATTGTAGACTGTTGTTGAGTCGAGCAGGACTCATAGCAATGCTATGAACAAAAGGCCTGAAGCCTTTCTATGACTATCATCATTTATCAAAGTTCATAGGGTTTCCAGAGGCATGTTGTTTAGGAAGTGGATGCCACTCCTGCTTCCAATTATGGATGTAGTTTTCATCATTTATGCATGGCAGCTTTTTTTTTCTTTTTCTTTCCTTGTTATGTTGAGTCAGATCCGACTGGCACAGGAGGAGATTGCCCCTCCTTTTCCATCAGAGCATCTGATTCGGGATTGCAGTGCAGCTTCTTGCCACAAGGCCACCAGAGCTCCCCCGCATGGCAGCTTTTAAAGTCCTGTTTTGTGTGGAAGGGATCTATATCTAGGGAAATAACGTGTCAAAGGCCACTCAGACTAGACCGCTGGTCTCGATGTGTAGTCCACTCTCCTTCCAGGAGACCCAAAAACTTTGTTTGGAGACAGGCAAGTGGGGCGAGCGTTGCTGCTATCCACCCTCATACATCTCTGCCTGACCTGGTTCTGAGTCCTCAGTTGCTAAACAAAACGTTGGCAGTTTGAATCCACCATGAGGCATCTTGAGAGAAAGGCCTGGCAATCTAGTCAGAAAAATCAGATGTTGAAAACCCTACGGAGCCCAGTTCTATTCTGATGTATGTGGAGTTGGCCTGAGTTAGAGTTAACTTGATAGTAACTAGTTTGGGTTTGGCCTGCTTATAGACCTAGTGAAAAAAGAGTGGCACTGCCAACCAAAGCCAGGCGATTCGAGTCGACCAGCTGCTCCATGGGAGAAAGATGGGCAGTTTTGTCTCATGTAATTTACAGCCTCTGGAAATGCACTGGAGGGTCAGTTATGTGTCAGTTTTGACTCAGTAGCATTGAGCTAAGTCTCCTTCTGCAAGGAGCAGTGGTGGCGCAGTGGTTAAAGTACCTGTCTGCCAACCACAGTCTGTTCTTCTAGGCCACCAGCAGCTCCACAGGAGAGAGATGAAGCCGTGTGCTATAAAGAGGCACAGCCATGGAAAACATATGAGGAAGCTGTACTCTGTCTTACAGGGTCACTAGGGGTTGGAGTAGACTCAGTGAGCTGACTGATAGTGACTTCAGTTTTGATTTCTCCATCTTTGGGGTCTAAGCCTACTTCCCTGTCCTGACCCCTGCCCTCACCCTCTGCCTTCCGCCACTGAGCTCAGAAACAGCAGGCTGTACTCCCTTCTGGAGGGAAGAGGAAAGCCTTACCTTCTGTGTTGACCTGTCCCTTCCAATGCTTTGGAGGCTCTGAGTCTGGGCCGAGTGGCTTGTCTCCTGCTTCCTTTGCTCCAACAGTGGGGCCACCAAGAGTCATCAACTCCTTAAATGCCTGGTCCCTTGGGGGGTATCCCTTACTCAGGTTCCTCAGCTGTTCCTGCTAGAGGGCACACGGCTTTGGGGGAGGGCTGGGGGCGGGGAGGCTGACCCAGGAGAACATGTTGGGGGGGTGGAAGAGGGAGTAGTCAGTCATATAAGGGTGCTTATCCCTATCCTGCATGGAAGATTTTTGGTTTTTACTACTGCAGAGTTGACTCCTCTGAGCTGAGAGGCTCAGGGTAAGGGGTATGTGTGTGTGTGTGTCTAACAGGACTTGGAGAACACAGCAACTGAACCACATCTGCCAGGATCTAGGAGGGAGAGTTGGACAGGACAAAGGGGATCTGCTACTTGCACAAATCCAAGGGGCAGCATTCCAATGTCTTCTTTCTTCCCTGCTCCCGCTAGTCGGGACAGAGTGGTCCATCTTCGGGACACCTCATCTGGGGCAGATTTCTATTTGAAGGTGTTTGGAGAGCATGCTCTGGATTCCTGGCCCCACCAAGAGCTGCTCCAGTCACTCTCTCTCTCTCCCACCTCCACAGCACATCCCATTTGCCAGTCTTCTGGGGCCTTATAAGGACCTGCTGGCGGGTCAGCATCGCTGCCCTGGGGTGAACCCCACCTGTGGGTAGTGGCATCACAGCTACTTTTGCTACATCCCAGGGGCTGGGATGAAAGGGATCAGGAGTGTCGGGATGACTCAGGTTCCTTGTGTCCCTTGGGAGAGGCTCCTCTCAGGCAGGCCTTACAAGGGAAAATGCCCGCTGCAGCTGCTTCTGGGACCTGAGGCCTAGCACAGGGCAGGCGGGCTGGCCAAGAGGGAGGGGTTGCATGTGACCTCATGTCCCAGCCCAGCCTTGGTCTGTCTGGTCTGTCAGGGCTGATGGCCTGCTTGTAACTTGGCCTTCTCTGGAAACCTCCATACCTGACTTTGAGGCTCCTGTGACCCTGGGGCCAAAGGATGTGACAATCTTATAGAATGGAATCATTGTGGCTTTTTAAGTCTGGACTCTATGAGGTGTAGGTCATGGTGGGGCTGTGTCTCAGGCTCCATGGGAATGCTGCGGAGGGGCCCAAACACCTCATGAGATGGAAGAGGAGAGGCAAATCACACAGACCCAGGAGGCTGCTTTTGCTCAAAATGCTCCGTTTATTGCTCTATTCAATGACCACGAGCGAATTATAAAAAGACACGAAATGTCTCTGTTTGCCGTGGGATAAATATTTAAAGTCAGCAATAAAAACACGTGGCTCCAAGATAACACATGATGCCAAAGAGTCATGCATGGCCCACGGAGGGGCTGTCAACACACGCGTGGACATGGGAACACGCAGAGCGACACACAGCAAGACTTCTGGGAGCACTTTCCCATAGTGACACAGAAAAATGTCTGACACAGATAAAGGGCCAAGTCCTTACCCCCTAAGGAACTTCCTCTCCCCTCATCCCCCCACCATGGCCCTGGGCCTCTGGATTCCCTGGCCCATCTGTCCCCTTCCTTCTCCAAAGTGGCAAAGACTGGGCACTGCTTGCTGAGGGCACCTGACACTCTCACCCCAGAGACTTTCCCTCAGCTGGGACCTCTCAGCTGACCTCTCAGGAGCTTCTCATGCATGGCCTCCAGATACTCAGGGCCCCTGTCCTGGTCCCACCCAGTCCAGGTAACTGCGGAGAAGTGGAGGTGTGGCCCAAGGCAGGCCCCTCAAGTTAAACTGCTCAGTGGCTCTCCTGGCTGAGGAGACACAGTGTCCGGTACAGACAGCAAAGATGGAAGGTCAGACAGAATGCACTGCAGCAGGACACTGGGAATGTGGCACGGAAATGTTTGGGATCAAGTAGCAGTGAAGCCATGGTTAAAAACTGAGGCCCACTCTTCATGGTGTGGATTAGGCCTCAGGGCCCCAGGCCTGGCCTGGCACATCCCTCCCCCGCCCTCTCCCACTTCCCAATATTTACAATAGGAAGAGCAATGCTAGGCGGCAAGGGGCCAGGCCGAGGCAAACAGGAGGAAGGAAGCAAGTGGGAGGGGAAGCCCAGGGCCTGAGGTGAGGGCCCCAGGTAAAGGGGCAGACCCAGGTCAGCAGGGCCCAGAGGACCTTTGTCACTCCTGGGCCTGGCAGGACAGCTGCTTCTCGTAGAGGCTCATGACGTGGTGTACAAACTGGTACTGCTCACATGTCTGGATCATGCCGCCCCTGCCCGGCAGATGCACGGCTGTTACCGTGGCAGGTGCTCCACCCACCGTGCAACACCAACCATCTGTGGGGCCCACTAAGGGCTGCGGTTTTTAGCTAGCCCTGCCCACCCGCCCCTCTCTGTCCCTTCTGCCCCCTCCCAGCTCTGGCACAGATGGATTGCTGGGACACAGGTGACATATTTTAACACCCTCAGCTCCCACTGGGGCCACCAGCTGTGTTTCTCTTCTCCCTTCATGGCACAGCATCTAGCTGGATCCTGAACGCCTGTATCAGTCTGTCCTCTCGTCTCCTTGTGTATCTATCCTGTCTCTGCACAGCCTTTTCCTGCTGACCTTGGGGCCCGAGCGCCTGTCTCCCCACCCTCTGTGGTCAGCTGACCTGTCCTGGCGGAGCTGGCATGTGGTCTTCAGGATGTCCACCACACCTTCCTGCCGCAGCTGCTGGCAGCAGATGCTGGTGGCAATGAAGCAGCCCGTCCTCCCGATCCCTGCACTGAGGGCAGAGCAGAGCGGGTGGGCCAGGAGTCAGAAGGAGTGGGGGCCTGGCCAGGGGGTGGCTGGGGTGACTCACCTGCAGTGGACGATGATGGGGGCACAGTGCGGCCCCTCTTGCTGTGCTGCCTCCTCCACTTCCCGCACCAGATGTAGGAGGGGAGGTGCACGGTCTGGGGTCTTCTGGTCGGGCCAGGAGGTGAACCAGTAATGCTTCAGGCCTCGTTCTTCAGTCCCACTCTGCCCAGAAGACAGAGAGCCACCACATAAATGTGTCCACTACATTTACCTTCAGGCTCACAAACCACCCCAGAAATGGAGATGTGGGGTGGAGGGGAGAAAGAACACAGGGGGAGGCCATGGGGTGTGCACCTCAGCCATTCCCATCTACACTTGCTGCACAGGGTGCCAGACCAAGGGCACAGTCAGCTTGACTGAAGGTGCTAGTCAGTGACAGCGACACAGCCTTCATTTCAGTTTTGCCCCAGCAACTCCAGCATCACCCAATAGGGGTGAAGAGCCCTCCTCTCTGGATCATTACTGTCGGCACTTCCTTATAAATAGCCTGGTTGTTCTTGTCACAGAATCCTGTTGCTGAGGACTCTATGCCCACCTCTCCATGCCCGGCTGCCCACCTGGTGCTATGTTCACCTCTGCTGCAGTGAGCTCCACCTTCCCACAAAATTGTTCTTATGAACTGTGGAGTAGCTAACCTTCTAGTGTGTTTTCAGAGGCAGTAAACTGCCCAGGAAGAGACAGCCCACCTTATTTCCACAGAGCAGCTCGTAGCTGTGAACTGTGTGCCTTTGGATTGGCAGTGCAGCTCCTTACCCCTAGGCTACCAGAGCTCCCTAAACAAAGATTTTTATTATTTCTTAAACACAGAACCACTAATATCTAATTCCAAACGAACAGCTTCCTCTACTGTGCTGATCCTGGAAGAAATACAGCTTCAAGGTGGGAGGAAACCTCCCCCCTTTCCTGCTTATTATTGCTCATATTTTGTGTTTCTCTTTTCACAAATCACATTCTCCTGGCACAACCCAAACACAGTAAGGAGTGCCTGCCCTCTGCTGGACATAGCGGGTATCACTACGGCCAGAAGCCTAGCATCCCAGGTGATGGGACCTTTCTTGGTTATAGGAGGTGTCAGGAACTCATAGAGCATAGAGTGATCCTAATAAAGTTAAATTACGCTAGGGTTGGTGAAAGTGCCCTGGAAGCGCAACAGTTAAGTGCAAGATGAAAGGCTGGTGGTTCTGCAGAAGACTGAATGACCTGCTCCGGTAACGATTATAATATACATAATCCAACTGGGCAGTTCTACTCTGCCGCACAGTGTCAATGTCCTGGAATCCACTAAGCAGCATCCAAGAACAACAAAGTTTGTGAGGGAGTCTCTGGGTGGTGCAGCCTGTTAAGACTCAGCTGCTAACTAGAAAGTTGAAGTACAAACCTACTCAGAGGCACCTTGGAAGAAAGTCCTGGCAACTTACATCTAGAAAATTCAGTCACTGAAAACCCTAGGGAGCACAGTTCTATTCTAAACACAGTTAGGGTCGCCACAAATTGGAATCAACTCCGTGTGTGTATGTTTGTGTGTGTGTGTGTTTAGGGAATATAAGTCCTGACTCTGTACCCAAGTTCAGGAAGGTCTTCCTTATCCCCCTTTAGCAGAAATTTCTGGGAGTGACATAGGCCTTCATTTCAGCTGCCGTGGACTCTGGGCTTGAGGTCCCAGTCAATCCCCAGCCACCCACCTTCTCCCCATCCACCAGCCAAGTGTAGCCCGAGGTCTCACCCTGAGGGAGATGAGTCGCAGTCGGTAGTCCTCAGTGTGAATAACCTTCTGCACAGTGACCTCCACACCGTCGTACACCGCCTGCTCCTCTGGCCAGTACTCAGTGCACTTCTGCAGGGGTCAGATCAGCTGCCATGAAACCCACAGCTGCCCCTGCCCACCGAGCCCTCCCTTACAACCCTCCAGGCCAGTGAAAAGAGACAGATAAAAGGGAAACGGGGGCAGGGGCTGTAGAAATTGGATAGACAATGCACACTTTATTGGAATAATTAACGATATGGAACGAGATGTATGAGTGATTGACTGAAAAAAACAAACCTAAGGAAAGGTTTACGCACAGATAGAAATATTTGTGGAGTGTTGACAGGGATGGGAAGGGAGGGAAGGGGCAGATATTAGCAGATAGATAAGTAGAATGAAGGGAAAGGTAAGATACAGGGAGGATTTGATGAGATGTAATAAATGGCTTTGATCAATTGTATTAAAGTTATAAAACAAAGTATATAGGGATGATTGAATAAAAAACCAATACAATCTTTTAAAAGGCAATAGGTTCAGAGTATTACATTTCAATGTCAACTTTATCGGCTATAAGTCATATCCCTTTCTGGGGCCTCAGTTGCTCTATCTGGAGAACAGGATTACTAATATCCATCTTGAAGGCCTTTCATAGGGCTTGAATTAGATGGGCTATTAGATGGTATGAAAATAGCCACAGCAAGCTTGGTGGACTGGGAGGCAGCATTGTGTGCCTGGAGGTGGACAGAGAGGCTCAGGTTCAACTCCTGGCTCTGCCTCTATCTGTATGGCTCTGAGCAAATGCCTTAAATGTCTCTGAACCTTTCTTCGTCTTGAAATGGAGCAGAATTGCTGCAACGCTTAGTGTGAAAGCGAGATGCTCAGACTAGGGGAGAAAGCAGCAGACAGGTGGTCCTCATGCAGGGTCCGTGGTGCAGGGGTCCCTACCTCGTTCATCTCCTCGATGTTGGTGATCATGACGATGATGGGTGTGTGCTCCTGCCACACCATGCGCCAGAAGTCACTGACTGTGCTCACAATGGGGCCCTGCGTGGCGATGTATACCTTCTCCTCGCCACCGTAGCCCTGCAGCCAGAAGGCCAGGCATGTCAGGGTCAGATCTGGTGCTCCTAGGGCCTCCCTCCAGGTTCCTCCCTGGGCTGGGAGGAGCCATGCTGGCTAGGGACAAGCCTGAATGAGGACTCCACTGACCCTGGATGTCCCTTTTGGGAAGAGGTCATTAGGGTGAGGCTACATACCCGGATGTAGTTGGCATTGATGTAGGAAATCAGGGGGTCATCAGGATCCGGTAGAGTCAAACACACTCTGCTGTGAGGGTCTGGGGTGGGAGAAGACAGATAGGTGGGGAACTGGGCCTTCACGTGCAGGGCCCACCTTCTCCATCCCTTTGCCAGGACAATAGTGGTTTCTCTTTGCCCTGCCAGTAATACATCACAGATTCATCCTTATGACCCCACAGGCAGGTGAGAGCCCAGGTTGAGGGGAAATGGAGGAGAGAGTGACCCTGGGTCTCGACTTCTGTCCTGGGCCTCTTACTGTTCTGTCCTCACCGCACCTCATGTTCTCAAGAGGAGATAACGAAGTTGAGATGGGAATGAGCTACAACCAGAACCAGCTAGAGTCTAAATAGACATGTTCTGTGTCAGCTTCTAAAAGCATGTGAGCTTTCTAAGGTGCAGTTTCCCTACCTGCAAAATAGGGGTACAGATGTCTACCTCTCAGAGTAATTTGGAAGATGCATGAGAAGATCAATGAGAAAGCAGATGTGAAAGTGCTGGCTAAATGGTCTAGTGCTTTACAGTAAAAGGACTGTTAAGATACGGGAGCAGAAGGTGAAGAAAGAATACAGAGTGGTGGGGTGGAAGGTCTTCTCTGTCTGAAGTTAGCGGGCCTTAGTGGCACAAAGGTTTTTGTGCCACATGGGGCATAGGACAAAGGAGCACTGGTTAAGCAAACAGTTAAGTCCTTTTGGCTGTTAATGGAATGGTTCCTGGTGCAAATCCACCCAGTCGCTCTGAGGGAGAAAGACCTGGCAAGCTATTTTCCATAGGAAAACCTGATGGGACAAGTTTGACTGTGCCACATGGGTCCACTGGGAGTGAAAATAAATGTGAAGGCACCTAGCAATCGCATTCACAAGTCAAGTTCCATAGTAACAAATTCCTCACAACATCCTCCTTTTCTTCCAGGGGAATAAATTTCTTTTGCTCTAGCTCTTGTCTCTTGAGCTGACTCTCTGTCTGCAGAGAGGCTGGGATTGCAGTCAGGAGGCTGGGGGTGGTGGGCAGGCCAGTTAGTTGGGAGCCTGGAGCCCTGGATTCTGGTCTAGCCTTGTTACCACCTCACTGAAGAGACAAGGCTCTCTCTTCCCTGGGCCTCCCTTTCTCCTACAGACATAGAGGGCCAAACCAGAGATACCTTCTGGGTGTACATTATGGGTTCTCAGAGGCACCACAGGGAGAGGTTCAGAGTCTGCACCACTGGGCCAGACAAGCCTGTTTCAAACCCTGCCTGTGACTTACAAGCAACTTACTTTATCTGTGTCTTATCTGTAAACTAGGGATATGCCTTCCCAAACAACATCACTCATCTTGTAAACGTTCAGTGACTTTCTGTGAACAAGGAGCCCTTAGAGCAGTGACTGGCACACAGTCAACAATATACGGTGGGCAGTGACTGTTGCTATTATTAGAATAAATTTCACCGTGATCAAGTAACAGGTAAAAAGAAGGAGCTCAAGTGCAGTAGGAAAAACAAGGGAGGGGACATGGACGCGATGCCACTCCCCAGAACTGCTCTAGTTATTTTCTTGCCCCAGTCTAGCTGCTTGGGGTTTTGGCAGGTGATTTGTGGGGACACCTGGGGGTGGGATAGTACCTGTGGAGAGGTGTAGAGAAGAGTGGCAGGGGTGCAGTATCAAGAGTGGAGAGAAGCAAGGGTCAGCAGAAGGGGGGCGTCTGGAGCTCTGTGCAGGTCACCTCCCTACTTCCCACCTTCATCAGCCCAGATTAAGAGGCCAGAAGGTCAGAAGTGGACAGTGTTCACTCTGGCTGGGCACTAGGGTCTTTGGTAGTAAACGAATCACTCAGCAATGGATTTTACTGCAAATTATTCAACAAATGTGGACTGAACACTGACTCTGTGCCTGGCCCTGCGCCTGTCAATAGAAACTCTTAGAAAAACAAGAGAAGGCTCTTGAAGGGACTCAGTGCAGCGGGGAAGCAGATGGGCAGATTGATAAATACAGAGCATGGCATGTGAGCACCAGAGCTGAGGGACTGGAGGGGACCCTTAACTTGGTGAGGGTGATAAGGCCTTCTGGAAGAGGTGACAGCCAGGCTGGTGGGAAGGACCAGGAGGAGGAGGAGGAGTAGGGAACTCCACTGTGTGTGATTCAAATGCAGAGAGAACAGTAAGGTCAGGAATCATGGAACAATGAGGCTGGAGCAGAACTGAAGGAGAAGTCTTTTAAGGCATTCTCAGAAAGCTGGGCATAAAACTCAAGATTGCAATTCACAACAATGAGGTTTCAGGAAGAAAACGGCATGTTGTGATTTCTGTTTTGCATTGTTCCGTGGCGTTGGTGAGCGGAGGGGAGAACGTGGATGTGAAGAGACCAGTTAGGAGATCACCATAATGATCTGAGGAAGAAACACCACAGGATATCCTGCCCTGTACTGCTCCAGGAACATTCATGTCAATGAAGTCCATGTCAATGGCACCCCCTGGAGCTGGGCAACATGGAGGTACTCACACCAGCAAAGCCACTGGAAGAGGAGATGGTGAGCAAGACTTGGGCCATCCATCCATCCATCCATCCATCATCCATCCATCCTCCCTCAACCATCAACCAGCCACTCATTCGTCCACCCAAATAGGTCCCAAATGCTTACTATGCACCATTTCTGATATGTGGGCCACAGTAGTAAATATATTGAAATGTCTCCCTTAAGCCTTGTTCTTAATCCTGCCTGCTGGGTTGGGCTACTAGTCTCTCCCAGTAGACTGTGAGCTCTTTGAGGGCAGAGTCTGTGTCTCATTCCCAGCTAACCTCTCAGCCTTAGACAATGAGTACCAGATGAATGAGAATATACACTCCAGGGTGTTCAAGATTTGAGTGGGGGCCTCTGCTAGGGCTCATCTGTGTACCTCATCTGTGTACCTCAGCTCAGTCTTTGCAGAAGGGAAGGACATAGTGGAGATGCTGTGAAGCTGGGGGCTGGTGGTTCAGACAAGGATGTTGGTGGCTAGTGACCCCTTGCAATCCAGTGGGAACTCGAAACTTCCCCCTGGTCACCCTAGGTTCTGGGCCATCATACATAGGGCTGAAGTAGGAGATATGAAGAAAGAGGTGAGCAGCCCTGAATAATCCATTCTGCCCTTAAATGGTGCTTTATTTAACCGGAACTACCAGAGATGGAGTAACCATAGCAACCACAAGTAGAATTTTTAAAAGTTAAAAATAAGTCATGACATCTTATATGTTGTCGGAGATACTGATGGTGAAACTGCTTTTCAAAAGCTTCACTACTCCATGAACTGAGTGGAGTAGGTCTGTGGGGATTCACTTTCAACAAGTCACCCCCAAGCTAGACTTGGGGCCTAGGGCCAGAGCTTGGCAAGGGTTGTGAAAGACTGGAGTTGGATGAAAGTGAACTGAAAACACCACCTCAGGGTTGATAGGAAAATGTTAAGTGACCTATCTAACCAGACTCAAAGGGAAAAACATCCCTAAGACCTTCCAGGGACTTTCTTGAATACTCTGAATGACAAGGAGCTCTCTCACTGTCTGAGGGAAGCAGTTCATCCCCCTGTGGAAGCTCAGCTGACCCCAGGCAACCTTGGTGACCTAGTCTGTAGGAAGTTACATTAATAACTCAAAGGCCACAACTCTCTAGCAATTAGAATCCACCAGACACACTGTGGGATAAAGTTAGGCAATCTCCTCCGTGATTTACACCCTAGGAAACCTGATGGAGGGTCAACCATGAGTCACTTCTGACTTGATGGCAATGAAGGTGGTTTTGCTTTTTTTTTTTTAAAAGCTGTTCAAACTGTACTCAAGTTTGGACAAACGAACCAGCCTCTCTGGTCTCAGAGGTCTAGATCTGGATCTCTGTACTCACTAGCTGTGTGACTCCCACTGACTTGCTGTGCAGGCTTTCAAAGCCTTCATTTCCCTATGTGTAAAATGATGTGAGTCTAGAGAATAAGGTGTGCCTGATCCAGGCCATGGTCTCCACAATTACTTGCTATGCATCAGAGAGCTGGACAATGACTAAGGATGATAGAAGAAGAACTGATGTCTTTGAATTGTTGTGCTAGAGAAGAGTCTTGACCATACTGTGGACTGCCAACAAACATATAAGTCTGTCTTGGAGAGGGTGATACCAAGTTTCTCCTCAGGCAAGGAAGAAGCTTCTTATCACATACTTTGGGCATGTGGCCAGGAGGGACCAGTCCTTAGGGATATCATGCGTGAAAGGGTGGAGGGACAGCATAAGAGAGGAAGACTTTGGATGAGATGAATTGACTCAGTAACTAGGGCAGTGGGATTAGATGTGTTAGAGTCAGTGAGACTGGTTCAAGCAAGGCAGGGTTCAGATACTGTACATAGGGTCACTAGTACTAGAGTTGCAGATGACATGATGGCACAGAACAGCAACAACAAAATGAGGGTCAAGATGACATGATTGTGGATAAACCTTGTAACCTCTCTGAGTCATAATTTCCTCTCCAAAAAAATCTTCCTATGCTAAAGAGATAAAGAATGTGGAAATATTTTCCAATCACTACACAGTCTAGGAGATGCTGCTACTGTTAACCTTTCCTTGTGAGTCTCCACTGAACTCAAAGCAGTACCTCACCAGGACACGGTACCTGACCAGGATGCAGGGTACCTGGCCGGGACACACAATACCTTGACCAGGACACAGGGTACCTGACCAGAACATGATACCTGACCAGGACAATGGGTACCTGACCAGGATACACGATACCTGACCAGGACACACGGTACCTGACCAGGACACAGGGTACCCGACCAGGGCGCACGTTACCTGACCAGGACGCAGGGTACCTGACCAGGACACACAGTACCTGACCAGAACATGATACCTGACCAGGACACACAGTACCTGACCAGAACATGATACCTGACCAGGACACACAGTAC